TTGTTGGACGCCGCAGACAAAAGGGTTCAGGGGCTGTGACTTGTTATCTAGTTTTACCCGACGGACGATCGCACAATATGCAGTAGTGTCAGTCCTTTAATCAGTCATTTATACTTTTATAAAGTCAATGATAAAACAATTAAGTAGCTTTCGTAGATAATCGATTGCAGCTTTTCGTAATATAATTGCACTTTAAATTCACCGCAAAAATACCCCAGTTAGTCAACGATGGTCAGGAAGAAGAAAGTTCGTGAAGACCATATATTCCAGGGAAATATCAAACATTTTGGCAACAAACCAGGAGGAATACACGTGGACTGGTTTGATTTCAGAGACATGAAGAATCTGTACTTTCTCTCTCACGCTCATTCCGATCATTTTTCTTTCGAAGATGATCTCAATATCATTGGGTTATTAACCACAGACTTTATCGAGCAACTTCAGGAAAGACCTCACATCAAGATTTATTGTACCACTACTACTTGGGAAATCATCATAAGACTTCCTAAAGCTAAGGCTGTGGTGGAGGAACTTGAAAAGCTTAAAGACAAGAACTTTGTCCTAGTGGAGCCAGATATTGAGAACTCAATAACGATAGAGCTGCTCTACAAGATTAAAAAGAATGGGAAGAAGTCTGGAAAAACGATTGATGTGACCGTAATCCCTGCTAACCACATCCCAGGAGCTGTAATGTTTCTGTTTGAAGATAAAAAGGAAAACAAACGAGCTCTTTATACCGGGGACATCAGATGCGATGTCAGGGAAAAGAACAATGAGATGACGGCTTTAAAGGAGTTTGTTGAGAATTATGATGAAGTTATCGACTTTTTGTATGTTGACATCACATGTTTAGATCTAGGGAGATTGTATCATCCAGATCAGAACAAATTACCAAGCAGGCAGGAGAGCAAAGTAATGGTTTGTAATCTCATCGAGAAATATAATTATAAACCTAAAAATGTTCACATTGACGCAGAGTTACTAGGAGCAGAAGATATGATTAAAGCTGTCGCGGAATCCTTCAATAATACAGCTGGTGATATTATATCTAGACTAGATGAAGGTTGTTTAAGAAGGGAACTTTATGAGTATACACTGCAAGGCATAAAGAAAACCATTGAAACTGAAGTTCATATTCATATTCATGATAAACATATCTTTGACTTTAAATCTGTTTGCAGAAAGTGTAAAGAAGATAAGGATACACTAAAAATTCGGGCTACATTGAAATGGATTTTCGGAAAATATTATTTAAAGAACTATTCCTACAGTAATCCGGACACCTGGAAGAACAGTTGTACAATAAAGGCCAAAGTAAGGGAAGATAGAAACTTCTGGCAGGTTCTGTATTCACATCACTCCTCGGATTATGAGCTGAGAGAGTTTCTTTCTCACCTCAAATTCAAAGAAGTGTTTCCGATAAACGAACCAGTCACTCGTGAAAATTGGAAAGAAATCACATATCAAAAGCTCGAATATGTAAGTGATCAAACAGAAACCAACTCAGAAAAGAAACATCACCATATCAGGAAATCTCTTTATTTTTCTCTCGACTCTGCATCTATGAAATACAATGACGAATCAGAAAACGTTCTCTGGCTTACAGGAAACAGTGATTCAATTGACAGAGAAAGTCTGTCCGATGATAAGTTTCAGGTAACCGAGAGGTACATCAGGGATTACGATAACATCTTATCAGAAGTGAAGAAGAAATACAGCCAACCAATCGACTTCCTGATCATTCAATGTACAATGGAGCTACAACAGTCCCTTGGAAAACTTGACTGTAGCCTCTCTCGGTTCATCAACAACTTGAAAGAGGAAATAGTGACTAAAAACAAGAACTTCGATGAAGCAATTTATGCTGTCCTATTTTACTCCACTACAAACAATATGAATGATAAATGGAAACAAATAATCAATAGTAGTCGCTTGCACAGAGACAACGAAGCTCCCGGAGTTTTCTATATAGACCTAACTAAGGTACCAGAATACACTGAATCAGACACTTCTCGGGCTATTGAGTGTAGTTTTATTTTGGAAACGTTGAAGAACTTAATCAGGAACGAAGACAAACAAGTGGATGTTAGTGACTGGCCGATGCCGTATAAGTTCAGTGAACGGAAGAGGGAATATGATCAAGAAAATCAGAATAGAGCCAGAGAGCCAGCAAGTCAAGAAGTAGAGATGGTGGATACTGAGGAGGTGAACAACAACATTGGTGAAGCTGAGGAGACTGTTTTTCAGAAAGATGAACCCCATAGTCAGGAGATTGAAATGACAGAACCTCAGAAGTGACCGGACATTAAAACAGCTGTATCATATTTGCAGGGCTGATAATTATATTTGATTCTGAAACTTTTTATTGCATGATGTTTAGTGCTGATGTTGGTTAGATAAGAATATTATATATTTTTATACAGCGTTACGTTATTGATGATTGAGTAGACGTTAGTTAGGATTTAAGTATAAGGAGAATGTGCTGAAAGAATATCACGTTACATCTTGATATTGAATAATATGCTGACCTTAGAGAATGTAGGCGAAACATTATTTTAATTTTCTTTTATTTTAATTTGATCGGTTTCAAATTTTATGCTACTAAAGATATCTCTTGAGATAAATTTGTTTTTTTGAAACGGAGCAGTTTTGTTGCACGCCGCAGGTAAATAGTTCAGAGGATCTAACTTGCAACCTAGTTGAACCCGACGGTTGATCGTTCAAGAAGCAGACATGGGAGAAATTGTGAAATGCACTTCGTATTATATTTATTAATGATGAATTATATAAGTATTCAGATAAGAATACGCTATATTGATGACTAATGTGGACGAAAGTATAGGACGACGGCGTGGTCGGTAAAATTTTGTAGGCGGCGTGCAACAAAACTGCATTTGAATTTCACACTGAATTTAACACACTGTATTTTAGACTGAATGTTACAGTCAATACTAACAAATATATTGCAGATAGGTGAGATGGGCGAGACTGAGCCCATATTTCAAGGCCTGATCGAAGGTTTTAAAGAAAAGGAGGATGCTCCTGGTGGAATGGCAGTTGATTGGTTTGAAGGCAAAATGAAGAATCTATATTTTATTTCCCATGCCCATGCGGACCATATCAAAGGATTATTCAGTCATGAAAAAAACCAAGGTCACTAAGGAAATTATCTCAAGACTTCCAATAGCGAAAGACAACCCCGATGTGATGAACGAACTTGAGAAACACTTATCTATCTTGGAACCGAATAAAACGAAAAAAATATACTTTTATTTGCTTGAGAAACTAACCCAAAAGTGGATACAAGTCCGAACAGTCACAGCCAACCATATTCCTGGAGCTGTGATGTTCCTGTTCGAGGATGGTAAGAAACGAACTCTTTATACTGGGGATTTCAGATACGATACCAGGGAAAAGAATAATGAAATGCAAGCTTTGAAAGAATTTGTTGAGAATTATGATGAGGTTATCGATTATTTGTATCTTGATGTTACATGTTTAGATCTCGGGAGATTGTATCACCCCGATCCCTAAAGCTAAGCTGTGGTGGAGGAACTTGGACAAGCGTAAAGAAAAAACTTGTCCTTTGGAGCCCAATATTGAAAATCCAATAACGATAGAGCTACCTTAACAAGAAAGGAACCAAACTGGGACAAACGATGGATGTGACCGTAATCCCTGCTAACCACATCCCCGAGCTGTAATTGTTTCTGTTTAAGATCTAAAAATAAGAAAAGACGCTCTATACTGGGGACTTCAATACGATGTCAGGGAAAATAACAGAATGAGAGATTTGGAAAAATTGTTAAAAATCTTAAAGCTAAAGCTCGGAATTATCCGACTACCTGTATGTTATATCACATACTTTAGACGATAGTATGTTAAATCATCCGGATCAGAACAAACTACCAACCAGACAGAGAGCAAAGATGCAGTTTTTGATCTTACATGCGTCAGAATCCAAAAAGTGGTACACATAGACCAGAGTTACCTAGAGCAGAAGATATGGTAAAAGCTGTCGCGGAATCCTTCAATAACACAGCTGAGATATTATCTCTAACTAGAAATAAGACTGTTCAAGAAGCAACTGTATGAGTACACTCTGCAAGGCAAAAACATTCCTGTGTGTGACTACATGAAACTGACGTTTCACATTTTATTATAATGCAATTTTTGACGATGATATCCCCAGCTTGCGGAAAGTGGTGACGATTACAACGATGATAATTTTCGGACTACATTTAAATGGCTTTCCCCGATACCATTTAAAGAATTAATTTCCCACGTGACCCGAAACCTGGATTAAACAATCGTGAAATAAAATACCGGAACACTAAAGAATTACTGCAATGGTGCGCGGTCTGTTCTGTTCATAGCTGGTTGTCGTATTTGTATAGCTGCGTGTTCTGTGAGGTCAAGTTGGGAGCGTGAGGTGAGGGATTTGAGGACTTCGATGTTGTTCCAGGAGATGGTGTGGCCGGTGGTCAGGGCATGATGTGCAGGGGCTGATTTGATTCTGTCTGTGGATTCGTCGATGGCGTTGTTGAGTCTGTAACATCGTTTGTGTTCTTTCATGCGGTGGACCAAGGGTCTGTAGGTCTGTCCGGCGTATTTGGAGGGGCACTGTGAACAGGAAATTTCGTAGATGGTGTTGGGAGTGAGGTGAGTAGGGGGTGTGGTCTTCGTTTTGGTGAGGAGGTTGCGGAGGGAGGTAGCAGAGGAGTGGGTGACTTTGATGTCGTGTTGTCCGAGTATCTTGGAGATGGGTTTGGATAGGGAGGGATGGAAAGGAAGAGAAACACTAAGGGCATGTTCACGGGTCTGTCGGTTGAATGAGGCTAGGGATTGGTGGCGAGAGGGGTTGGTGAATTTCCGTTGTACTTCGTCCATGATGGTGGTGATGCGGTGAGGAGGGAAGCCGTTCTGGAGGCAAACGTGTCGTACTGTCTGGAGTTCGTCGTCAAGGTGTTGGGGTGAGCAGATGTTGTGGGCTCTTCTGGTCAGTGATCGGATGACTGCGTTCTTAGATGAGTTGGTGGTGCAGGAGGAGTACTTGGTGTAGAGGTTGGTGTGGGTGGGTTTTCTGTAGACTGATGTGGATTTGTCAGGGTGGATGAGAACGTCAAGGAAGGGTATAGTTCCGTCTGTAGAGGGATGTTCTTGGGTAAAGTTGAGGTCTTCAGTAAGGGAGTTAAGGAATGTAAGGAAGGATTCTGCGTGGTTTCTGTCTCTGAAAGATCCAAGGCCGTCGTCAACGTCTCATTAGCAGTCTCCTCAGCTTCACCTATGTTGTTGTTCACCTCCTCAGTATCCACCATCTCTACTTCTTGACTTGCTGGCTCTCTGGCTCTATCCTGATTTTCTTGATCATATTCCCTCTTCCGTTCACTGAACTCATAAGGCATCGGCCAGTCACTAACAAACACTTGCTTGTCTTCATTCCTGATTAAGTTCTTTAACGTCTTAAAAATGATGAGAGTTTCAAGAACCAACCGACTGTTTGATTCTGTGTACTCTGGTACATTAGTTAGGTCTACATAGAATACTCTGGGAATTAGTTTGTCCCTGTACAAGCAACTACTGTTGATGATTTGTTTCCAATTCCATTTATCATTCATGTCGTTTATGTTGGAGTAAAATAGCACCGTACTTATTGCTTCATCGAATTTCTTGTTTTTAGTCACTATTGCCTCTTTCAAGTTGTCTATGAATCGAGAGAGATCGTAATACAGTTTTGTAAGTGCAAGTGACTTTTGTAACTCCATTGTACATGGAATGATCAGGAAGTCGATTGGTTGGCTGTATTTCTTCACTTCTGATAAGATGTCATCATAGTCCCTGAAGTACCTCTTGGTTACGTGAAATTTATCATCCGGCATATATATTCCATAATCTGGATCACTGTTTTCTGTTAGCCAGAGAACGTTTACTGGTACGTAATTGTATTTCATTGATGCGGATTCGAGAGAAAAATAAAGAGATTTCTCGATATGGCGATGTTTGGGGACCGGTTTTTTGTAATGTTTGGGGACCGGTTTTTGGCGATGTTTCTTTTCTGAGTTGGTTTCTGGGCCAGTCACATCTTTGTAATAGATTCCTTTAAAATATTGGCGAGACAAGGGCTCGCTTATCGGAAACACTTTCTTGAATTGAAGGTGAGAAATGAATTCTCTCAGCTCATGATCAGAGGAGTGGTGTGAATTCACAACCTGCCAATAATCTCCGTTTTTGTGATCACGCTCGTTAATCCAAGTCGTGCGATCGCTGTGGGAATACTTTCCTGTGGGTTGTTTAACAATCCACTTTAATGTAGCTCGAATTCTTAGTGTATGTTCGTCACACAAAACGCATTTATATTTGGGGGTTCTTTTATCAAAAATATGAAGACCAATTTCACTGGTGTCTGAATACGTGTTCGAAAGATCATTTAGCATATATCTGTAGAGCTCCTTCCTTTTACTGTCATTAATTGCTGGTTTATCTATAATTGAGTCTCTCGGACTATTCAAGATCTTCGCTACTTCTTTTATCATGCCTTCAGCGCCGAGCGGCGTTGCATCGATGTGAACATCGCGTGGCTTCTTGTCTTTAATAAGTCGACAGATTGTGTCTGTAATTTCCAGCCGGCTCGGCAGCACATTTTGATCGGGGTGATACAATCTCCCTAGATCTAAGCATGTGATGTCAACATACAAATAATCGATAACCTCATCATAATTCTCAACAAATTCTTTCAAAGCTTGCATTTCATTATTCTTTTCCCTGGTATCGTATCTGAAGTCCCCAGTATAAAGAGTTCGTTTCTTACCATCCTCGAACAGGAACATTACAGCTCCAGGAATATGGTTGGCTGTGACTGTTCGGACTTGTATCCACTTTTGGGTTAGTTTCTCAAGCAAATAAAAGTATATTTTTTTCGTTTTATTGGGTTCCAAGATAGACAAGTGTTTCTCAAGTTCGTTCATCACATCGGGGTTGTCTTTCGCAATTGGAAGTCTTGAGATAATTTCCTTAGTGACCTTGGTGCAGTAAATCCTGGCATAGGGTCTCAACTTTAGTTGTTTGTAAAACTCATTTTCATGACTAAATAATCCTTTGATATGGTCCGCATGGGCATGGGAAATGAAATATAGATTCTTCATTTTGCCTTCAAACCAATCAACTGCCATTCCACCAGGAGCATCCTCCTTTTCTTTAAAACCTTCGATCAGGCCTTGAAACATGGGCTCTGTCTCGCCCATCTCGCCTATCTGCAATATATTTGTTAGTATTGACTGTAACATTCATTCTAAAATACAGTGTGTTAAATTCAGTGTGAAATTCAAATGCAGTTTTGTTGCACGCCGCCTACGAAATTTTACCGACCACGCCGTCGTCCTATACTTTCGTCCACATTAGTCATCAAAATAGCGTATTCTTATCTGAATACTTATATAATTCATCATTAATAAATATACGAAGTGCATTTCACAATGTCTGCTTCTTGACGATCAACCGTCAGGTTCAACTAGGTTGCAAGTTAGATCCTCCGAACTATTAACTGCGGCGTGCAACAAAACTGCTCCGTTTCAAAGAAACAAATCTATCTCAAGAGATATCTCTAATAGCATAAAACTTTAAACCAATCGAATTAAAATGAAAGAAAATTAAAATAATGTTTTGCCTACATTCTCTAAGGTCAGCATATTATTCAATATCAAGATGTAACGTGATATTCTTTCAGCACATTCTCATTAATTTTCCTAACTAACGTCTACTCCACGTCATGAGATCATCAATAACGTACCGCTAGAACGCTGTATAAAAATATTATATATTAATATTATTATCTAACCAACATCAGCACTAAACATCATGCAACAAAAACGTTCTTGAGTTTCAGAATCATATATAATTGTCAGCCCTGCAAATATGATACAGCTGTTTTAATGTCCGGTCACTTCTGAGGTTCTGTCATTTCAATCTCCTGACTCTGGGGTTCATCTTTCTGAAAAGCAGTCTCCTCAGCTCCACCAATGTTGTTGTTCACCTCCTCAGTATCCACCATCCCTACTTCTTGACTTGCTGGCTCTTTCTGATGATCCTGTTCATACTCCCTCTTCCGTTCACTGAACTCATAAGGCATAGGCCAGTCTTTAGCTAACAAAAATTTGTCACGGTTTCTTTGTAAGTTCTTTAAGGTCTCGATAATGATGCGATTTTCGGCTTCTACGGGATCATTTGATCCGGTGTAATATGGAATCTTCGACAGGTTAATGTAAAAAAATTCCTTGTTAGACCCAATTTGGTTGATTGTTTGCTTCCATTCATCGCTATAGCCATCCGTGATAGAATAGAATAACACAGCGGTTTTGAAACTCAATGTGCGTGTTAGGTCATCAATGAAATCACTGATAAATAACTGATAAGGTGGGCATGGGATGATAATATAATCTGAATGATTTATATTATGATGCACCTGGAACCTGATCTCTTCACAGTTGTTGAAGTTATTGACGGTCACCTGAAATTTTTCGTTCATTCTGTGAACACGGGAGTTTCTTGAAAACCAGAGGACTTTAGGCTTGAAGTAGTCTTTATTCAAGGAAGAACGGAGTGATCGTGTTATGTATGTTTGTTCCTCCTTTGAATTTAAACTTATTCTAGGAGTGGAATTATTTCCTTCTAAATACCGAGGAAGTGGTGTGTTAATCGGAAAAAACATTTCTGAACTCAAGATGAGAGAAAAATTGTCTCAGTTCAGCGTCCGATGAGTGATGAGTAAATACCACTTGCCAGTAATCTTTAGTGTTACGGTATTTTATTTCACGATTGTTAATCCAGGTTTCCGGGTCACCGTGGGAATAATTCTTTAAATGATATCGGAAAAGCCATTTAAATGTAGCCCGAATACTCATCGTGTCATCGTCACACTTTCCGCAAGCTGGGGATTCATCGTCAAAAATTGCATTATCATAAATGTGAACGTCAGTTTCAATAGTAGTTCCCACACAGGGAATGTTTATGCCTTGCAGAGTGTACTCATACAGTTGCCTTCTTGAACAGTCTTTATCTAGTCTAGATATAATATCATCAGCTGTGTTATTGAAGGATTCCGCGACAGCTTTTACCATATCTTCTGCTCCTAGTAACTCTGCGTCTATGTGTACACTTTTTGGATTCTGACGCCTGATAAGATCAAAAACTGCATCTTTGCTCTCCTGTCTGGTTGGTAGTTTGTTCTGATCCGGATGATATAACCTACCTATGTCTAAGTATGTGATATCAACATACAGGTAGTCGATAATCCGAGCATTAGCTTTAAGATTTTTAACAAATTTTTCCAAATCTCTCATCTCAATGTTATTTTCCCTGACATCGTATCTGAAGTCCCCAGTATAGAGCGCTCTTTTCTTATTTTTAAGATCTTCAAACAGAAACATTACAGCTCCGGGGATGTGGTTAGCAGGGATTACGGTCACATCAATCGTTTGTCCAGTTTTGGTTCCTTTCTTGTTAAGTAGCTCTATCGTTATTGGATTTTCAATATCTGGCTCCACAAGGACAAAGTTCTTTTCTTTAAGCTTGTCAAGTTCCTCCACCACAGCCTTAGCTTTAGGAAGTCTTATGATGATTTCCCAAGTAGTAGTGGTACAATAAATCTTGATGTGAGATTTTTTCTTAAGTTGCTCGATAAATTTTTTGGTTAATAACCCAATGTAATTAGAAGAATGTTCGAAGGTAAAATGATCGGAATGAGCGTGAGAGAGAAAGTACAGATTCTTTACAGATGTGAAATCGAACCAGTCCACGTGTATTCCTTCTGGTTTGTCACCAAAATCTTTGATAAATCCTCGGAATATGTAATCTGTACGGACCTTCATCTTCTTCCGATCCATTCTTGGCTAACAGGGGTATTTTGTGGTGACTTAAATTTAAAAGTGCAATATATAATGAAAAGCTGCATTCGATAATCTGCTAAAGCTACTTAAGGCCACAGGGGTGGGGGGGGGGGGGGGGGGGGGGGGGGGGAGGGTTCCGAGCCCAGTTGGCAGTCCACGTACTACCCGGCTCTCCTGAAAACACCAAAATATCAAAAATCGCCTCATATTTCTGTTGGACAAGGCCTTCACAAACACTTTTGCCAAGTTACAAGGTTCCATTGATGTAAACTGTAAAAGAAGATAGATTTCTGCCAAAACCGTATTTAAACTTTTTATTTACAATAGAATTACAGGTAAACCTCAAAATTTTACGCGCAACATCTACAGATGGGAAACTTTTTTTTCGTTGAGAACAAAAGCATTTGAAAACTTAGATCGAGCTCTAGAACATATTATCTCAAAATCTCAAAGTTGAACTCGGACCCCCCCCCCCTGTGACCTTAATTGTTTTGTCTTTGACTTTTACAAAAGTATATACATGACTAATTAAAGGACTGACAATACTGCTTATTATACGATCGTCTGTCTGCTAAAACTCAATTTCAAGTCACAGCCCCTGAACCATTCGTCCGCTGCGTCCAACAAGACAAATTCGTTTCAATTACAAAATGCGTCTTTGAGAGATGAGCTTTACTAAAACAGAAATTGGAATCAATCAAAATAAAATAAAATAAAAATGATGTTTGCATACATTTTGCACCCTCTAAGGTAAGCGTAATCGTTAATATTACATTTCATGAGGTCATCAATATCGTAATGTGTTTAAACATATCCCATCTTTGTTGGGTATATTTTAATGTCGAAGCGTGTAATAAATGGTAGAATTTATTTATTTATTATTATATATGGTAGAAAGAAAACTCCATTTAAGGACGTGAGGAGAGTTAGGACTCCTCAATAACTACATTAAATCCATTCACTCTGTATCGTCCTGAATAAAAATAATTACAAAAACAAAATTTACTAAGTTCCTAATAAAACATTACTGAACACCAAAATCATAATACTAATGCAAAGATACAACAAAAGAACAAATAATAATAAATCAAAACAAATTTCAACAAATATCAACAAATATCAACAAAATCAAAATATAAGATAATATCAAAATAACCACAGAATAACAACAAAGAAAACTCCATTTACGGACGTGAGGAGAGTTGGGACTCCTCCATAACTACATTAAATACATTCCTTCTGTAACGTCCTCAATAAATGTAATAGATTTGTAGTGTTGTAATTAGTTTAAAATATAAACTGATTACAACACTATTATATATACGAGATGCAGGTATGTATTTACGGGACTAGGAGGGGTTTAAAATAAGAAAGGCAATGGTTATCTAACCAACATCAGCACTAAACATCATGCAATAAAAAACGTCCTCAAGTTTCAGAATCAAATGAAATTGTCAGTCCTGCACAGCGACCACTTCCGGCACCCTACCGGCAGCGGTATCACTCAAACTACAACACAAGATACAAGGGCAGGTCTCTCCCGCAAGTTGGGATGGCCTGAGGCCGAGTTGCTTATCTCCTTTTTAGTTACCCTAAGCCACTCTGTACATTGTAAATGTATACCCGAGTCATGAAAATAAGTGTAGACAAAACGGACAATATATAATATATGTAATATGATATTCTGCTATTCTCGAGAATTTTATGTTATTATATGGACACGTTCATTTGAGTTTGAGGATATTGGTAAACAAAAATAATAGCGTTTTCGACGATAGTGGCTTAATTTTGTCATCTATCAACCTAGCATGTTCAGAAGTTCTGAACATTAGCCACGTAACCCATACTCCCATATGCACCGCTCAGAAAGAAAATCTATTGTTGTTAGGCACTATAATGGTTCAAATGTCACATTTTGTGTGACTTAGTTAACTGCAGTTGTCTAATTATCATTCCTTGGTCTGAAATACAGTAAATTAGGTCATCTTACAATTATGATACAACATTGGTTAATGGGCACGGATCGAACGGTTACAAGGCAATATTTGGGTAACTTTGTCACACTCATGATACCATACCTCTATTCTAATGTGAGGTGTCCTAAAAACCTTTTCAACTCATTATTTGATGGTTGCTCTACCAATCATAGCCCTAAAATATATCGTTTTGAATAGTTAGCTAATACAGGCACTTGGTTATTGGGAAATGAGGTTAATTCTGTCACAATATATGAAATTTTAAATTTTGGGCGAATTATTTATATTTGATTTTGGTTTGAAAGGCGGGAAAACTTTATATGATGACAATGTAGTTGATGCGAGTTAAGATCAGTTGATGTTTACATTGTCACAAGAAATTATACGAAATCGTAAATAGGTTAAAAACAATGATTATAGAATGAAATAGTCTCTTATAATAACTCTTATAATAACTGATGTGACAAAGTGAACATGTCTTGCCCCTATTTTGAAGATCTATATTCTATACCTCTATTAGAATTCAACATTCTTAAGTTTAACAATTTTAGGTTAAATTTGTCAAAGTCACTAAAAATGTGACTAAATTAACTTTCCCTGCCCCAACAATATCAAGATAGTGTGTTAAAATTGGCATACTAGAATGCTTTATTGCCTATATAAATCAATCCAAACTACAAAATATATGTTAATGTGATGACGATTACCTAACTCTTATAATAACTGATGTGACAAAGTAAACATGTCTTGCCCCTATTTTGAAGATCTATAACTCTATAAGAATTCAACATTCTTTCAGAAACGATTGGAAGAATATTGTCCAGAACATCAGAGCTCAATTTTAACAATTTTAGATTGATTTGTCAATGACACTGAAAATGTGACAAAATTAACTTTCCCTGCCCCAACAATATCAAGATAGTGCACGTTAAAATTGGCATAGGGTGCTTTATTACAGGTATATTAATCGATCCAAACTACGAAAAATATCTTTTAATCTGATGACGATTACCTAACTCTTATAATAACTGATTTTTTTAAAATTTCAAAATTCAAATAAACTTTACATCAATGTATTACAGTTATATTCAATAAAAAGACCACAATATCTCCTGTGAAGCAAAAACATGGAAAAAGAGAGCTAGAAAAATATTCATGATACTCAACACTACCAGACTCAGCTGGAGTGAGAAACAATATGTAAAAACATCAAGGTAAAATTTATTTCGGCTGAACCAAAACACGGTGGCAAGACCATAATTACATTGGTGCCGACCCTACATAAAATCATTAATAAATAATCAAGAGAACAAATTTAAATGTATACGATACCTTCTTGCTACTACTCCACAAACTTACACGACATAACAACAAAATAACATAATTAAATAATATTATAATAGAACAATCTATAATCTAGCCACTCACGTACTGCGTGACGCGCCATTGTTTCGGGTTGTTTCATAAGAGTAAAAACGGCGCGTTCTACTGCAGGTGCGAGGGGCAAATTATAGAGAGTATGACATTCATAAAGTAAAATATATATATAATAATATTCCATGATGGGCTGTCTAATCAGGCCAGCATACGTCAGAAGACCAGAGAAATTCAGTTAGCTTTGTTTTGAAAATAGAAATTTTCTCAGTCTGTCTAACATAGGCTGGCAGTGCATTCCACAGAAGCATTGTTCTATAAAAGAAGCTGTTTCTGAAACTATCGCAGTTTGGTACAATAGAGCAGGTATATGTGCTGGTGTCAAGTCCTTCAATGACTGATGCCGTGCTCCTTGTGTACCTCATTGTTTCAGCTTCAACAACAGTAATATATTCAGGTAGAGATATACTTACCAAATCATTTACTATTTTATAGAAGAGCGTAATTGAATTATGGATGAACTTAGATCTAATGGGTAGAATTTTAAGCTCCTTCTGCTTCTCATAGAATACAATATCACTATAATGATCAAACTGTTGTCCATTGATCCATTTGATCGCTCTTTTCTGGATTGCCTCAAACTTCGACATGTGTGTCGATCGCTGAGGACACCATATAACTGAGCAATGTTCAAAGATTGATCTTACAATGGTAAGGTAGAAAGCCCTCTTTTGGCGTTTATCCATGGTAAAAGTAAACATATCTTGCCCCTATTTTGAAGAACTATACTCTATTAGAATACTATGAAACTTAATCATCAAAAATTTTTCGATAAACTAGTTATTTTGCCAGCAAGGAGCTAACAGAGTTATAATAATTTTTTTGTGACGAAATTATCCTATTTTTGACCATGTTGTGGTAGTTTAATTGTGACACTGTTAACATATTACCACCTGATAATGATTCATGTGACTGGTGCATGGTACTAGCAGTGTTGTTTGATCCATAGTACGTAATATAAGGGGTTTAAGCTGGTATATCATTATTTGTTCAATTTCACACATGTTCAGATATCATCAAGATTATGTGACAAAGTAAACTTGGTTGTGCCTTCTGTGTTTTAATTTCTTACGACTATATGATATAATAACAATCCCCAGCACTTTCAGGCCATCAAATAAACCTACACTACTCAGCATTGCTTATCAGGGTGCCCTAAACATTCATCACATATTTTCTTTAATGTGTGACAGAGTAAACCTGAGTGCACCATCTAACGAAAAAAGTCGTCAAATATGTAGGTAATGGTCATATGTACCCATCCAATCAACTGGACACTCAAAAATTTGGTCAAAAACGGCAGCAAGGGGTCCATATTTACTCCGTCACATGTTTATAGTGTGACAATGTAACCATTTCCGTGCCGGCCGTATTTAAGCGATATCTTATCACCTGATTAAGATATCGTTATGTGACAAAGTTACATAACGGCCCAAAATTTGGAAAAGCGCCGGGGGTAAACCCCGGCCCCGGCCAATAAATTTAACCCCGGCCCCGGCCAAAAACCATGCATTTGCCGGGGGCACAGCCGGGGATTTCATTAATGATTTTGGCACATTTTTGAAAAAAATCAAACACAATTTAATG